TGTACCCCTATTTTCTTTTCACTGTGTATACCATATATTAGCTACATACTTAAGGTGGTACGATGCTAAATAAACTAGATCAATCCCACTTAGCTACATTACTCCAAAGATCTTAAAATTATCAATCAAGCTTTTGAGATCCTCACCAATCAGCAATCCTAGGAACTCCGGTGGATTCACCCAAACAAAATCCAAAACTCTAGTTGCAGGTGACCTAACATTAGCATTTTTTGCAACTGGAACTTGTTGATTGTTTAGGTTGGTCACACTATGATCCAACAACTGCATAACATTCCTAATTTAAACATTTGAAACTTCTTTATCGGGACATGATTAGATTTGCTTCAATTCCTGTCATTCGCATTCCTAGTGTAAGCTCTACGAGGAGGCATGATATAAAACACACAATAAATAATTAGAACGAGAAGTTGGATCATACCTCACACATTAAGAATTATAAAGAAATGAATTTTTTCTTCTTAAAACACCTTGTGGTCTCCCTCTCACTAGATGAGGTGTACTTTACACATATCAAATATACTCTACTTAGTATGACTTTTCATATATCCTAGGACTCTAAAACCTAATACTCTGATATGAAGATAGTCACGCCTATAAGCTACCCCCTGAATTCGTACATGGGATTTAGGATCACAATGACCCCAAGCTAACCCTGCTGGCCTATGATAAACCTAATTTTATATACTGAAGTACATAAACATTGTTCAAAAGCTAAATAATCATGTAAACTCAAATTATAGGGAATACACTAAGAGTTTAAATACAATTGAGATGTCAAACACTAAGACCCAATCCAAATCTAACTATATTTTGAATAAAGCCTCTACTGACTTGAAATGTTGGGAAATGTCGCGCTAAATCTAGCAAACTAAAACTAAAGCGAAAAGCAAGAAAAGTAATCATGTCACTACTCCTCGAATAAGGAGGATTCACCACTCATTTTGCTTAACACAAGATTGGAAACTGATTTATGTGTTATCTAACTGCTGAGGACATGAACCTAAATCATGAGAAAAAGTAGTGTAGAGTATGCGCCAGTACTTGAAAGACAACGAGCATGCAAGATAGATTAAAGTTGAACTATAACATAACTGAACAAGTAATAAAGGAAAAATATGAGCTAAACATAATTAGGATACTAAAAATACTGTACATGACTAAACTGAATGCAATGACCAAGTTATAACATACAGAGGCTGAAAACTCTATTGATTACATGATCAACGATAAAGGATCTAACTGAATAGTGAGAGCTCTAATAACCGACATAAAACCACATAACATAAACGTAGAGTTCGTTGTATAAATCACTTTGAGAGGAAAAAACATACCCCGTCAGAGGTATAGAGGCATGATGGCGTGGTCACTAATATAATGCCCACAGTTTATAACCTAGTGGCAAATAGTTTTAGGACATGGGGTTAACTTATCCTAGTCCACTCCATTTTAAACTAATTCCAATTGATTAATTAGTTAAAAAATTATGAATGATGTTCTGTGATACTAGATAACTCAACGTACTGACTTTCAAACTGAGAGTACAATATTTATTAATATACTGATAATAATTCATTTGGAAACTGAGGCAAGTCAATATATATACCTGAATTTACTGACCTATCATGTGTATTCTTGAATTAAAATAAATGGATAACAAGGGTTCTGAGTTTATGCATGAATATAGGCAAAAAAAATTCTACAACGTGATAATAAGATTTAAGTCATTCTAACAACTTAGGAATATATAAGTGACGATCTCCCCTGGGAGACAACAATTACCTTCTAACTTAAATTGCATACGATTAATTTAATTTATTCCCTTAACCTCTGCAAGAAATGAAGATTCTCATCTATTTTTGATTATCACACCACCAACTAATGTGTCTATGAGAGTAACTCCTAAGCAAAAACTCTGATGCACATCTTTTTCTAATTCCTTCCCTTTTTCGTCAACATGTTCTACATCACCCTCTAGATCATTTTTGTGGCCTTAAGGTATGATATAATTCCACCTATAGGATATGAGATACTACCGTTCCATTCAAAGACTGCCTCATTTGAAATTGAAACAGAATGATCCTAGTTCAAAAATCACTGACGCATATCAAGAATGTAACTAATCCATGCATAAGAATTATATAAAAATCTACTATTTGTAAGTCTACAGGATCTCCTAAGGTGACTTTTTAAAAGATCGTGACAGGGAAATTTTTATATCATTCCCAACAATTATCTGAAAGTCTAGAAACCCTGAATCTAAACATTACATAGAGAATTAATAATTTGACTGAATGACACGAATCTAAAGAGTAAAAAGAACCCACTAGTGAAATAACACTAGTTGCTGACAAAATATACAGAAAAATCCTTCAATTTTTGAGTGGAGACATTGAAAAATAGTTCTTCTTCTTTTTGGGAGGTTTGGTTGTACTTATACTCTTCTTTTTTCTCTAAGTTTTTATGATTTTAGGTGAATGATGGTTCTCGGTAAATCTAACTATTTTATTTGGCTTAAAATAAGTAAAATGACATAGTTTAGGTATAAAACAACAATTTAATGGCCCAACGCATGGGAAAAAGACCTAAACAACCCTAAAATAGAATCTATCAAAGGCCACCCATAGAGGGACCTACCCGTCGTAGGTTGATCTATCAGCTGTCGGTGGGGTCGTTTGTCAAGTGTGCCCAACAGAGCTTCACTAAAATAAGCATAACTTGTACTCGAAGATGAGATTTTTATAAACAAGGTGGCGCTGGAAAAATGATTGAATTATCTATGATTTTTTTGTGCTTGTTCTACTGAATTCAACTTTTGCTAAGGATTAAGAAAATTTGAAGTTGACCTAAACAAGTTTTCGCTCTAACTGTCTGTTAACCCTCACCTAAGGTCCTTAGACCCAATCACGTTCTGTACTAGTCTACCCTGGGTGGAATAAAATACCATAAATATGTGTTCGTCAACGGAGGACTCCAGCTACGAACCGCGTGTTTGACCTGAGACCGTAAATGGCTTCTTTGTTTCTTTTACTAGGTCAGGAAGGCTGCAACTTTTTCAATTTTCTCAAATCTGAGGTGTTATATTACCATTATGAATAAGTTAAAATACAAAAACTAAATATTTTACCTTCATAATCTTACAAAAATTCCAATTAAAAATAAGCTTACAATTTTATTCTTTATTAATGAAAAATAGTACCTATTAATGAAAAATAGTACCTATTAACGAAAAATAGTACCTATCCACATGTTAAGTAATAAATTATACTTTTGAATTTAACACTTCTTATTTCGGATAATAACTTTCTTAACTACATTCATGCTATAATTATTGTATGCTCCTTTGAGATTCTAGTGCTATTGAACACATACACTATCAATATCATAATTTTTATAGTAATATTTTTAATTTTATAAGCCATTTACTTGGGTTCAAATGATACACAATATATTAGTGAATTGGGATACCTTTTTTTGCTAAAGTTATGCTAAGTTAACTTTGAATTATTGTTTAACCTTATGGAATTATAGGTTGATGTTCTAATTATCCTAAAAGAAATATGTTATAAGTACTTGTGATATGTATCTTCCAAATAAAATCCCTATATTTTGCAACAAATCAGAAAAGTAATAAAACAAAAGTTGATGAGAGAAACCTTTATCCAAGAAATTTAAAACTTATCCATCTACAGTAAAATCTCACTTCCCACTTTTTTTTTAATATCTTAAAACATTCAACAGAACTTGTTCATTAGATATTTCATAACCAAAAGCTTTTCGATGAAGGGATTCAGTCAATTTTTTTAATACCCTAATGGATTTAATGAAGGTATAGTAATTTATTTCTTAAACTAATTTTTAAAAAAATTAAAATTCAACGAGACCCAACACACCTAATCAATTATATACTAAAGTAGCTAGTCTTAATAAGTAGAAATTGCAAAGAGCAAATAAGCTTCATAATATAGAACCCAAACATCAGCACAAACACAAACATAATAAAGTTATAACTAGAGGAAAGAAAGGAGTTGTTTTCATACTTCTATGCTACTCTGCCATGTCCATATTGCATGAGCTTTTGAGAAGCGGGAGACACAAATCGGAAGAGAGGATTTCGAATTTCAAATCGAGCAATGATGTTGAGTCTTGATATGAGACTTCTTGCACGATAGAAGTCTTTTATAAAAACTCCAAAAACCTACGAAAGTATTGATGTAAATAAAGAGAGAGTAAAGAAATTAGTAAGACGGTTAAACTTTAATGATAGTGAATAAAGAAAATATTTAGGTAAGTAATCTCATAAAATGAATATGCTATTCAAAACACAAAAATGTGTAAATGCCTACAAAGATATTCCTCCTACAATTGGAAAAAATAAACTAAACTCAAAATAACAAAGCCATCAATCATGCTAGAAATAAATTCTATTTTTCCCCCTATTCTTTAGGGAGTAATTTAAATCGTGGGTGTTATCTAGTTTAGGAGAAAATCTTGTGAGATAGTTCCTTTATTTTAGCTTAACTTTGTTATGTTCTTGCTTATAAAACAAAGACTGTATAGCAGCAATTACTGACATAAAAATTCCTTTGCGTTTTCAGCCTCTTTCTCTTCTCTGTCAACTTCTACTTCCAAAGTTTTTTGTTTTTTTTCTATCAGTTGTATCAGAGCGAGAAATATATTGACGTGAAAAAAATAATAAAAAATAAACAAAATTGCAGCAAGTAAAACTCTCTTCTGCTTTCTGTGTAACTCATGGCATCAGAAAATAATTTTGTGCAAGCAGTTATTCCACGCTTTTATGGTCATTATGAACATTGAAGTATGCTGATGGAAAATTTTTTACGATAGAAGGAATATTGGCCAATTGTCGAGGATGGCATCGGCACTCCGACCGAAGGAGAAACTTTATCGAATGCTCAAAAGGCAGAGTTGGAAGCAAGAAACTGAAAGATTTGAAAGTGAACAGTTATTTTTTTTAGGCTATGAAACGTTCAATCGTAGAATCTATTCTTTGCAAAGAAACTTCTAAGCAGATTTGGGATTTTATGAAGAAAAAATATCAAGGCTCTGCTAGAGTGAAGCGTGCACAACTTCAAGCCTTGAAAAGGGATTTTGACACTTTGCATATTAAGAAAGGAGAGTCCGTAACGAGTTACTACACGAGAAGAATGGAAATCAGCAACGAAATGCGATTCCATGGTGAGGAGATGAAAGACGTCAAAATTGTTGAGAAGATATTGCGCTCTTTGACACCGAAGTAGGATTATGTCATTTGATCCATTGAGGAGTCAATAGATATCGATGCTTTGTCTCTTGACTAATTGCAAAGCTCCATGTTGGTCCATGAGAGGATCACAAATCGCAGCTCAACTTCCGAAGAGCAAGCTTTGAAGGCCTATACTTATATTTCTTCCAATCCTAGAGGAAAGGTAAGAGGTAGAGCAAGAGGAATAGGAAGAGGGAGAGGAGATCAAGGAAATAGAGATGGAGTCAATGAAGATGGCAACAGGAACTGAAGAAGTAATGATGACCATAAAAAAAGCAGAGGACGGGATTATGATAAATCCGATGTAGAATGGTATCATTGTCAAAAATTTGGCCATTATCATTATGAATGTTATACTAGGGTTCCTAATAAAAAAGAAGAAATTTTGAATTTTGCAGAGAATAAGGAAGGATAAACGTTGTTAATGGCAGTTCATGTGGAAAGCGAGATTGAGGAGAAAGTTGTTTGGTACGTGGATACCGGCTGCAGTAACGACATGACTGGATGTAAGTCTTTTTTATTATTTGAATGAAAGATTTCAATCGACAGTTTGTGTTGGTGATCTCTCAACCGTGAATGTGATGGGAAATGATAATATCAATTTTAGAACAAAGAATGAGTGTGTGGAAATCATATCTAATGTATTCTATGTTCCTTCTTTGACAAGCAATTTGTTGAGTGCTGGTCAACTTTTAGAAAAAGGATATGTGATCACTTTACAAAATGATTCATGTGAAATTTCTTATCCTACTAAAGGTGTTATTGTGATTGTGAAGATGAGTCAAAACAGGGTTTTCCCTTTGAAGATTGAAAATGTTCAATTATGCTTTATGGAGAAAGTGAAAAACGCTTCATGGTTGTGGCATTTACTATATGGACTCTTGAAATTTAGTCGCTTAAAGATCATTCAAAGGAAGATTATGGTGACTGGGCTTCCCCAAATCATTGTTCCATCCCAAGTTTGTGAAGAATGTGTTGTTGGCAAACAACATCGTTCTCAGATTCCCAAAAGTAAGTCATGGAGAGCCAAGGAGGTGTTGGGGCTAGTACACTCTTATATTTGTGGAACACTAAATCCGATTTCTAATGGAGGTAAAAAGTATTTTATTACCTTTATTGATGATTATTCCAGGAAGACATAGATGTATATTATGTAGGAAAAATTAGAGGCTTTTAATGTATTTAAAGGCTTAAAAGCACGTGTGGAGAATGCTGGAAGGACCAATAAGAACCTTAGGACAAATCGTGGAGGACAATATTTCTCTAAGGCATTTGTTGAATTTTGTGAGACTTGTGGCATTCGAAAGGATCGCACAACAGCATATACACCACAACAAAACAGTGTGGAGGAGAGGAAAATAGAACAATTCTCAACATGGTTCGTATCTTGCTAGCTCGAGGAAGAGTTCCACAGGAATTTTTGCCAAAAGAAGTGAATTGGAGCACCCACATCTTTAACAGAAGTCCAACATTCACTCTTCGAGTTGTATCACCTTAGGAAACATGGAGAGGAAGTAAACCGACATTAGACCACTTAAAAATATTTGGTGCATTGCTTATGTGCATGTCCCACAAGCAAAAAGGAAAAGGCTTGATGATAGAGGTGAGAAATGTGTTTTTATTTTTGTTAGCAAGGCATTCAAGGCGTACAAGTTGTTCAATCCAGTGACAAAGAAGGTTGACCAGCAGAGATGTTGTTTTTGATGAAGCGAGCTCTTGGGACTGAATATGCAGCAGTCGACTTTAATCTTAATCGATAATGAAGTCGAAAAAGAAATTGCGATATCCGAAATTTCTAAAGTTTCTATTCCAGCAACTGCTGAAATTTTACCCTCATCTTTATAAGAAAATGATGCAGTGGACCGGTCTCTTCATCTAGCTCGTAGAAGGCCGGCGTGGATGATGGATTATAAGTTAACATGAATTTATATTAATGAAGATGTTTTCCACTTTGCATTGTTTTGAGATTGTGATCAAACATCTTTTGAGAATGCTTTCAAAGAGGTTGTATGGAGGAAAGCCATGGATGATGATATTGATGATATTGAAAGAAATGGCACTTGGGAGTTAACAGATCATCGAAAGGGACACAAAACTATTGGTGTCAAATGGGTCTATAAGACAAAACTGAAAGAAAATGGTGAAATTAACAAGCATAAGGCGCAATTGGTGGCTAAGGGATACAAACAGAAGTTTGGTGTGGACTATACTTGAAGTTTTTTCTCTAGTTTTAAGGCATGACCCCATCTCTGTGAGCCTTCTATAGTCGCATTGAGTCTTATTTTTTAAAAGTTTTTTTCTTGAAAAGTCCATATGAACACTCTCTTTTTTTAAAAATGGAGAATCTGGGAAAATGCTCATTGTGGTGGCTACGTTGATGATATTATATTCACTGGAAATGATAGTGACATGTTTTCAGAATTCAAGAGGTCCATGATGAATGAATTAGAGATGTCTGATCTTGGTTAGATGCATTTTTTCTTGGTTTGGAAGTAGTAATCTACTGAGGGGATATTTGTTTCCCAAAAGAAATATGTGCAGAAATTTTAGATCGATTTATTATGAAGAATTGCAATCCCTCTAATACTCCAGTTGTGTTTTGTCTAAAGCTAAACAAAGATGAAAGACGGAACACGGTAGACAATACACTTTACAGGAAAACTGTGGGCAGTTTGATGTATCTAACCGCCACTAGGCCCGACCTCATGTATGCTATAAATCTCATAAACAGATATATGGAATGCTCGACTTAAATTCACCTTCTACCTGCCAAAAGTATCCTTCGCTACTTACAAGGAACAAAGGATTTTGGTTTGTTTTAAAAAATGGTGAGAAATCTGGTTTGCTTTGTTTTGGTGATAGTGTTTATGCAGGAGATCAAGACGATAGGAAGAGGACTTTAGGTTATGTTTTTATGATAGGCTCAAGGGCTGTTTCATGGTCTTCCAAGAAGAAAAATTTTTTACTTTATCGACTACTGAAACGGAATTTGTTTCTGCTACAACTTGTGGTTGTCAAGCTGTTTAGTTGAAAAGAATCCTTGAAGAACTACAGTTCAAACAAGAAAGAGCCATTGTAATTTTCTGTGACAACAATTATGCCATCAAGCTATCAAAAAATCCTACGTTACATGGAAGAAGCAACCACATTGATGTGAAATTTTATTTTTTACAAGATCTCAATGATTGAGTTTAAATATTGTCGAAGTGAAGATCAACTGGAGGATATTTTTATGAAACCTCTGAAGTTGCTTTTTTCCAAAATATGAGAAGGTCATTAGGACTTTGCACCATGGATGAACTCAAGATATTGAAGATAACCTTAAGATTAAAAGCTTTTAGTTTAAGGGATGATGTTCGAAATAAATTATGTTTTGTTTTGTTCTATTCTTTGGGGAGTAATTTAAATCATGGGTGTTATCATGTTTAGGAGAAAATCTTGTGAGATAGTTCCTTGATTTTAGCTGAACTTTGTTATGTTTTTTCTTATAAAACAAAGACCGCATCGCAGTAATTAGTGACATAAAAATCAATAAAAATTCCTTTGCTTGTTCAGCCTCTTTCTCTTCTCTGTCAACTTCTACTTCCAGTTTTTTTTGTTTTTTTTCTACAAAATCATGCCTTTTTTTAAAAAAAATAACACTCAAAAAATTATAATCATAGACCCTTCCACGTTTATAATGTTGTCATTAAACATTTTCAAAGGAAACGTATTCATACAACTCTACTAACTAATGGGTTAGAGAAAAATCTATGTAATTTTTCCACATAGAGATAAGATTGGAATCTACAGAGCATGATCATGGGTCTTCTTAAACTTATTTTTTTCGAAAAAACACAAACAACATTATTAACTAAGAAAGAACGATACTCCCCTCTTTTAGATGTATTTTTACATATGAATACATATGCTGAAAAATGTTATCAAATAAAGACATCGTATGGAAAATTAATTTGACAAACAAAATGATTTCAAGTGAAGATTTAATCATAAAACAAATCATTTCTCAAGTAAATGGCACACTAAAATGTGAGGGGAATATGTCTTCCGATCTATACAGAGCTCGAAGGAGAACCAATTATATTTCGTGTTCACATATAAGTGTAGATAAGTAAATAAGTTAATTGTAAGTAGTTATTCTTTTAGGGTACAATTATCAGTTTATAATTGTGACAAAGAAAGGGAGTTTTGGCAGTTCAAATTCAAATATTTGTGTTGGTGATTCTTCATATAAGATATTTCAAAAGTAATAGATGGTTATAGGTAGTTTATCTTGATTATGAGAATGGTATAGTTCAAACTTCTTATGCTAGTGCATTTTGTATGTATTAAAATGGGGCCAAGTAAAGATATTTGTTTTAGACTGACTGACAAAAGCATATTTAGTAAATTATTAAATTTATTTATATTCTCAATCCTTATATAATTATTATGATGTGTATATATTAGTTATCATTTTTATTTAATAAAAGGTGAGATTTTGAGATGTGTTAAAATGCGTGGTGGATTGGATGATAGTAATATAAATTGATGAAATATTAAGTTAGTTAATAAAATCCATGTCTCGATATAGAAATTTATTGATATGTATTTTTGAGAAACTTATAAGTTTTCATAGTGTCAAACATTATAAGTTGATTTATGAATCAGACAAATGAAATAAGTTAAGTCGTACTCTAATGGAAATTAATTAGTATGTTTCACTAATTTTATTATTTATGTCATGTCGGATCCTACATCCTGAACGTGGCCTCCACTTGGAGTCCATTGCTTGTGCCCAAGCGAACCCTTGACCCACCTTTCTTAACTAAGCGGAAGACTTACTCATCTCACACAAAGAATTTGAAAGCATTCTCAGAAGGAAGCTTAAATAACTGTCTTGTTCAAAATGGTGGTTAAGTCTCAACAATGTAATATGCGAAGTATAAGATAAAGGAGACTTTAAAGTTGAACTACTACATTGTCTAAGAATCCTCTAAGCTTACTAAGATGGATGTTGGGAAAGACCCCACAACATACAAAATATAAACTAGTAAAACAAATTAAAAAGATATCCTGTTGAATGCAAGGAGAATCACCACTGACTCTATATCTCAATACTGATTAAAGAAGCTCCGTGTGCTGATCCTCGTTAACTGAGTTTACATGATAAAACGATGGAGGCCAACTAACATAAGTACATTAAATGTATGAGTATGAGAGTTCGAGTTCGAAATACAAGTATAAAGTTTGAAAAGGAATAACAACTAA